ACAATCAATTTATTAAGAATAATAAATCTGTCGCTGAATCAAAGAGTTTCACGTGGAAGCTAAAACAGAGCATTCCCTTATATTTAACAATTTCTAGCCTGAACTGGTGTACACCCATTTAAGTTCAACTCCAGAACCTTAATTTTATTAAATTGTCATAATATTAAGATGTTTTTAAAAGCTATTTGACATCGATATTCGTAAGATTGTACTGTCTTTATGTGCATATGCCAAAAGGGCATGCAACGATCAAAACGATAAAATTCCCTTCTCTCCAAAAACTAACATGTGGCGTTTTCAGTTCCACCTGACAGGTTTTGGAAGTTCACACTCCCCTTTTTATCTCTATTATTTTCGCTGTGGCTGCTCTGTCCTTCAATGGTTGTGTCAGCCTGAACAATCTACTAAGGTTACAGCCTACGTATCAAAGTTAGATTTTTAACATATTATATGATGTAATATGATTGTCTTAAGACAAAAATATTGCGTTCTATTGATATATGCTATTTTATATGATATCTATGTGATATATTAATAGAAGGCAGTTAAGCAATAAGCTTAGTTTGTGATCGTAACGTCATAATACGTTTTTTTTTTTAATTTACTGTTATTTAAATTTAAATTTCGGAGCTTGAATTGTTGCCACAATATACGGTTCAGTGATTGGCTGGCGATGACAGCATCAGGATTTCTCAAGCTGGTCACTGATTGGTCAAGGAGCCAGAGGTGACGCTATCTCACTCTGGGTTTGTGGCAGCCGGCTCGCAGTAATCATGTAAAGATGGATTGACAACCCCACCATTGACTAATGTATGGCGTTTTTTAGCAACCCGACTTGGGCTAGCCGTTATAGTTTGTAATAGTGGCTGCCATGCGTGTGGGGTGGCAGCTACTGGGTTATGCAATTGCTCATTTAATTTTTCATATATTATTGATTTTATGCTGATATCACTAGTGTGGCTCTATTGATATTAATAAATTCAATGTCACCAATCTTTTGACCATTTTCATTCATAGTGTTGTCCGAGTCTTTCTTGTTATGGGATAATATGTAGTTTTGATTGTCTTTACTGACTATTAGAATATGAAATTCAGTTTAAACTAGAAAGTAAAAGGTCGTGAGTTGAAACCAAATTTCATGATCTAATCTCCAGATTATACCAACGAACTATCATTTTAGCATGCTTTTATAAGGCGTATGTTAATTTCCGTAAAAGTAGTAAGTCATAGTAATTGACTCTATGAACATATCTAACATGTTTCCGTTAGTGTCTACAGCAATTCGTATACAGGATGTTACGGGCTCTATACTCTAACCGTATAAACTACTAACAACGACACAGAATGAACCCCTAGCAGACTGGGGATTGAGTAAATTAAAAACAACATGTTAATCATTTCTGACACTGCCCAATATATAGTAATATATTAAGTAATTAAATGCACGGGAATGTAGCGCCCAAATTTATTTCATTAAGCACCGCTGATTGCTAGATGATAACTTTAGCAACCCGATACTGCCTATCCCTACCCGTGTCACGAGGCATTCGTCATGCATGAAGAGAGAGAGAGAGAGAGAGAGAGAGAGAGAGAGAGAGAGAGAGAGAGAGAGAGAGAGAAGCCGTGTATGAAGTGTTTTCGAGCTTTAACTAACGAAGCAATCGAAAACTCTATAACAGAAAGTAAAGTACCGATTTTGTTTCATGTCAGAGTCCAGCAAAATATAGATTATACAGTCATAACAAAACCATGTCTTACATCTTTTATGAACACCACATTTTATCTTCATAACTAGTTTAAATTTGTTGTACAATTATATATATAGTTACCTGAAAAATATCATTTTGATAACACATGACTCATTCAGTAGGCAGTCACGTATCTCCATCATGTTCGAGATTTTATTACATAATATCGTACGGGATTTGTCAGGTACGGTACCCGCCATATGCCTGTTAAACCCAGAGAATAGCCGAGGAGGGACAATGATGAACCCTTTCTAGATGACCATTTTATTTTACTTGCTTTGCCAACGCTGGTATCCTTTCTTGTACATTTTCGTTACTACCCATCCCAACTGAGCATGCACATCCAATAATTTACAACACTGAGAGGCAGTTGATTTCACGACGTGATGCGCAATGCTTCATAAAGTTGCAGGTTCATGTTAATATTGACAAAAAATAAGATCAAAATTCTTTAAATATTTAAAGGCGGGGTAACAGGTATGGCTAGTCAGCATATTGCAAATGAATCATTTATCATTTAATTTAGTCAGTTCTTGTGAAGCAAGTATATGGAAATACACACATTTATATTTTTATCACAATATGTTACATATGCCATTTTAACAGCAACGCATCGCTGCATTTAGTAGGCGGTTCGTAAAACCGATGTTCCGGATTGATAGTTCGAATGTTTATAGAGCCTAATATATTAATGTTTGGAACATTTTCAAAGAAAAAGATGGAAATATACTGACACTTACTACGCCTTTAAAAAGATTGACGACATTATATAGATATGGTAGTTATCACAGACAAATAACCAACGAAACTGTTCATCTGTCGTGATTTTCAGTCAATTTCAGTTGGATGTTTGTTTTCGGATCGTTATTTTAATGACACAATAATATGTGTGTATTTCCATTATGCGAAGTTTTTTTATTACAATTTTATTAAAATTCGATTACTTTCTTTGCTTGGAAATCGTATGGAGAATAATGTCGTAATTGTCCATCTAATTATTAAGTATTCATAATGCTGCACTAATTTTATTATTCTATTTACCCTTTTTCCGAAGTGGAAAAACGTTGACCGATATGGTTGATTCACATATATCAAACGTGGTTATACTGACATAGTAATATATTTGTCACTCAAAACTATTTTCCATGTAAGGAATGCCTTTTGTGGATATCACATGACTTTTATTCATACACTTGACAAATCGGTGCGATAAGTTTAATGATTGTGTTGGTACTTACTTTTGTTAAGGAGGGCCAGATGGTCTGGTTTTGGTTTTATATCGTTTAACGTCCTATTAGCAGTTGTAAGGTAAGTAAATCAGACGGTAATTGTGATAATACACAGCATTATTTCAAGCCCCATACAATCTTGAAATACATGTAGCACCTCTTAATTGATCAACATAGATCGCCCTGTACCCCATATACATGCTGATTATCTACATTTTCAATTTCCAAATTTATTAAAATTATATACCTATCAATAGAATCATACACTCGTATCAAGTCTAAAAATGCTGATTATGTCAAGTGCACGAAGGTGGTCCAGACCGGAAATAGTTTTGAGTGTAATTACTAAACAGAACGTTTGCTTTCCCCCATTTTTTCAGTCGAACATTAAGTAAACCACAATATGGTTTAAATTGGACAGCTGTGAAGCTGTAGAAACATTTGGTATTAATAGACTACTGTCAGGGGAAAAGAGAAAGTTGTCGTCGTTCTTTTTTTATTAAGACAAAGTCTGACAAATGTAGTACAACGTATGTTATGAGAGAGGGCGACAGGTGTGGGTTTTGTTCCTATAACAACCAATTTTGTTGTCGCAAAGCATCATGGGATTATATCCCACCCCACCACTCTAATGTCAAATTTACAAGGACTTCTTTGTGTGAGTTATCGGACGGATATGTTTATTTTTTGAAGGTAGCAAAATAATCAACTGTCTTCATCAATATATTTTGTATCTGTTAATATACCTTTATTTTTTTTTTGTATTGTTAGATCCGTTTTACTGTCCGTGCATCTCAAAATATTATGTTTTGTATCATGTTCTGCAGATTGCGTTCCTTTTATATACTAATAGAGGTATTAGTTATTCTGATTTAATCAGCCATAACGACCCCTACTACTCCGCTTAGTGATCCATATCGACGATATAATATAGTGCCGAAACCCTTAACTTCCGAATTATATTCTACCCTATGGTGTGCTTTTGTTTTTAATTAAAATGTCTCCGATTTTGCATTTGAAAGTTATCACATAGACTGCACCTTTTAAACAATAATTCCTATAATAATTTTCATGAATCCTATTGGTGAGATAGATATTAACAACCATCTTTTAGCTTGAATCTGTTCCTGCTAAGCAGTTGTATGCATGGCTATGATATATGGATTTCAATTAATTCCCAAAGGGTTTGGACCAGATTACGAGGAAATTATGAGTAGCACGTGTACCATCCTCGATATGCGAAAGGTTCCGCTCACTTACGTTCCTGCACCCCCCGTATGGCACGACAAAATTGAAGGAACGAAGACAGCAATTTGATCGGTTTCATACATAAAAAAAAGTGACAAAACGCAAGGCTGATCTCTGTCCTTCGAAGATTACAAAGGAGCGACACACCAATTCATAAGCCGGTTAATTTTATTGTAATGCCACTGCGCGATTCTTTTGATGCACATCAAAAGACTAAACTAATATAATTGTGTCAACCGTAAGTTAACTCGTACAGAACCTTCCATTTTGTCAGGAGATATTCCAGGGGTGCAGAGGACGTTCGTGTACGTAAACCCCTGTATTTTTTACTATGCACGTGAATTTGTATCTTCATATCACAGACAATTTATATATGGTTATAAAGTGGAGATCTCAATCATTTTCATGCTTTGACCATGGACTTAATGCCTGCAATGGTAAGAGATGGTCGAACGCATTGTTTAAGAGATTGCAATTTAGAATCACTGTTTATCAATAATAAAAAGGCGAATATTAAGGAGCTGCTTACGCAAAGCCGTTGTAAATGATATATAGTTCTCAAATTAAACCAACTAGTTATATTGGCCTGGAGTAAAGATAATGAATAAACAGTTCGTACAAGATTGGACTAGAAGACGTTCATTTACATCAGATTTCTCTCTTCGTATGTTTAGGGTGGTGACCATGTGGCAGAAATATGCACCGAAAAAGTGTTCATCATTTACGTTATTTACACCATAAGCGATGAGACGTTGGTATGAAAAAAGTCTTTTGAAACAGGCTTATTTTTTATTATTACTATTTTCTGTGGTCCAAATATGCTTTGTCTAGAATAGTATGTCTTAATCACTTTCAAATCAAATCGGTAATAAAACGTAATAGCGACGTAAAAGTCATAAGCTAAAATGAAGAGTACTTCCTTTTGCTGTCTCGGTTGGACGCGACTATGTATTATTGTTAATGTCTGTGAAGTGCTGTGGGTTCTCGACACTTACAGGGTAAAACCTTTCTTCTACTTGTTCGAGTTTCCGCTGTATCATCGTGTTCAACACGATAAAGTTCTTCTTGGAGCAAAGAAATCATGCCAGGCGTGAGAGATAAGGTCAATAACGGCGTGGTAGAAATCATAATCTGGATTGAAGTAATCGATCCTTTGATGTCTCAGTAAGACGCGAATAAGTCTTTTTGTCATTGTCCATATAATACAGTGGGTCTTTGACCTTTACAGTATCAAACCCTTCTTCTACTAACTCGAGTTTCCGGTGTTTCATCGTCTGCGTTACAATAAAATCCTTCTGGAAGCGGATGAATAATGGCCGGGCGTAACTTGGCAGGTCCTTCTGGCATAGTTGGTACAACGACTGTAGCATATCGGCAGTTACGTCAGCATTGCCTGTCACAGATATCGCAGCCATTCCCGCTCTACCTTCAGTACCTGAATAAACAGTTAATGAGAATGTTGATGCTAAAATGGATCTGTGTCATATTTCAGGGGGGGAAAAAGAGAGTTTGTCTTTAGTTTGTCATACATTCATTAACACCCCCCC